TTTCCTATCTTTATTCTTTTTATTTCTTTCTCTTGTCTAATTGTTGTGACTAATGTTTCCAAGACTATATTGAACAGGAGTGGTGAGAGTGGACATCCTTGTCTTGTTCCTGATTTTAGTGTAAAGGATTTCAGTTTTTGACCATTTAGTATGATATTGGTTGTTGGTTTTTTGTTTTTGCTTTTGTTTTGGTACTGGGGATCGAACTCAGGACTTCCCGCTTGCAAGGCAGGCGGCAGAACCACTGAGCTAAATCCCTGGCTCTGGTTGTTGGTTTTTCATAGATGGCTTTTATCAGTTTGAGGTAGAGACCATCTATTCCAATTTTTTGTAGGGATTTTATCATAAATGCATATTGAATTTTGTCAAATACTTTTTCTGCATCTATTGAGATGATGATATGGTTTTTGTCCTTGGCTCTATTGATATAGTGTATTACATTTCTTGATTTGCTTATGTTGAACCATCCCTGCATCCCTGGGATGAATCCCCCTTGGTCAGGGTGTATGGTCTTCTTGATGAACTTCTGCATTCTATTTGCCAGTATCTTATTCAGGATTTTTGCATCCATGTTCATTAGTGAGATTGGCCTATAGTTCTCTTTTTCGGTTGGGTCTTTCTCTGCTTTGGGGATCAAGGTGGTGTTTGCTTCCAGGAATGAACTTGGGAGTATTGCTTCCCTTTCAATTTTACTGAAGAGTTTAAAGAGTAGTGGCAGTAGTTCCTCTCTAAATGTCCTGCAGAATTCAGCAGTGAAGCCATCAGGACCTGGGCTTTTCTTAGTTGGTAAGTTTTTAATTACATTTTCAATTTCACTAATTAATATTGGGTTGTTTTGAATTTTTAGGTCTTCTTCGTTCAACTTTGGTAATACATACATTTCTAGGAATCTGTCCATTTCTTCCGTGTTTTCCATCTTATTGGCATATAGCTTCTCGAAGTAGGTATTGATGATCCTCTGGATTTCCGCTGGGTCCATTGTAATTTCATCCTTTTCATTCCTAATTGTATGCATTTGGGCATTTTCTTTCCTTTTTCTGATGAGGTTGGCTGAGGCTTTGTCAGTTTTGTTTATTCTTTCGAGGAACCAACTCTCGGCTTC